AAATGCTGTTTACTAGAATTGAATTCCATTCAGATCAGTATACTGGGAGAAAGTAGAGGCGGAAATGGGCAAAATGCAACCTTTGTTGATATCCATGGAATTTCCTGTGCTATTTTGGAAGAGTATTTACTCCTGTGATGAGGTTTTGTTTTTAGATAAACCTGTTAAGGCGACGCAGGCTGTCATATACGGAAAAAACTTTCCGAAAGAACATACTGCGCCGACAGCAGTATTCAAGAACTGCCGAAAATTAATGGTCTGGATGGCCATACAGTTCGGCGAGCGTCCAATTTGGCGATCCACTGTGAACAGAATTAGCAGCAGGGCTTCACCAAAATCGTAAAAGATGCCTTGTGTTACAACTGCATCAATCGGCGCAAAATGCACACAATTATTTTACACGATAATGCACCAGTTCACCGTCCAAAGGAGGTATGAAATTGATTGCATCTACAAGTGTAGTATAATTTTTTAGACTACAGCCAACCTCTCCGACTGTGGCCTTCAATCTATTTTTATTCCAGCCAACAGCCGTGATCATAACACAATCGAAAATCTGTTTGCAATTGTCAAAAGACATTGGTCTAAAGCCAAAAAAGGTCTTACTATGTAAGAAAATGGGGATTATATTCTCAATACCCACATTGCACAAACAACTACCAATAACTTGGTGGCCTCAATGTCCCACAGACTTACTGCAATTTTAAATCAGAATGGACGTTCCTCGAAATATTAAGTATTATATTTGTACATATTCTCCATTACTTTGACGTTTTTTTGAGATACCATGACTAATAACATTTATATTTCATATTGAATCATGGACTCGTAATATTGCCATTTCCTGATTTTGTAGCTTTTTGTGAAACTTAAATGTTTTTATGCTAGTAAATAGTAATTTTTAACCAAGGTATGTCTTCTTTTTACTTATGGCTCTTAACTTACTGCTGTAATCCTTTGGGTGCATGCCGCGTGTGCTGACTCCGCGCAAAATGACACGTATTAGGTTATGTAAGACATTTAATCGGTGAGGTAATTTATTGTACATAGCGCGTCATTTGGGTAGATGTTGCTGAATAACGTTCCCTAAAAACGCTCACACCCTGATAGACAGCCACTTTAAACGTATTTCTGTTTTTTTTTCAAAAAAGGTGCCCTCAAAGTTCGAAAATTTTGCTTCAAACAGTATCCAGCGGTAAATTTAAAAAAACAAATGCAGAGCACGAAACGTGAGTGTACTTTTCGAAATCAAAACGCACGAAATCATAGTTGAGGCTTTCTTAAAGCTGTAGGTGTATTCTGCCTCTGGTTTAGGAGCAGA